AAACCTTGCAAACTTAGTCGGATCCAGTTGTGAGATCTTGTGAAGTGTGCATGTGACCTGTATGATCGAGTGTTCTGTGGCGGTCGGTCCTATGGTCCGTGCGAACTGAATATGGACAGGAGGAGAGTTCAGCTTCACTGGAGACGCGCGATCGAAAAACTTTAAACTCGTGATTTCAAATTATGCTGCGCTTTATGCATTTACCCGCTGCCATATTCATGTCATTTTCACTGTGTGCTGTATGTAAAATGAGTGTTACCTTGGCTTTATTTGAAAAAATATGATTAATGCACACAAACTTCCCAGAATACTGAGTGCTCTGTTGGTTACAGTGTTTACTTCCTTTTTTATTATATTATTTATTAAATATTTATTTATTTGTGAAAAAAATACTTTGTCATCTAAAGTAGAAGTGTTTATTTAACACATTTATTTTTTCATCCATTTTCAAATTATTTTTTAATTTCTTAAACATTAATTAAAATAAATAAAATTATATCGGCTTTATATCGGCCACCCTGCTTTCCAAGATATCGGCATCGGCTGTCAAAAAACCAATATCAGTCGATCACTAATAAATACTGTAGTATACTTTAGTTTTTACTAACCTACAGTAAACTGTAGTGTATTGTATTCCCTATAGTTGTAGAAAACTTGACATTTGTTTATATTATATTACCACAGCAACTATAGAATGACTACAACACATTCATTCAAGTACTTTACTATAGTATGGTTCAAAAATACTATAGTACTTTACTATAATAAATTACTATAGTATGTTTTCATGTGGGTTATAACCGTAAATGATATGTACTTTCTGTTCTGGAAGCTCTGACAAGAGAAGTCCTTGTGTGTGTAAACACACTTGGCAATAAAGCTCAGTCAGATTCGGATTCGGATTCGGATTGGGATTTCTAGACTGTGATTTGAGACATGCTCTATGTTTTCACTTCAACATCTGTGTCAGTTTCACTCCCAGATCATACACGACTGACAAGAGAAGAAAACGGCAGAAATTTATTCCTCAAGGTGCAAACGACACGACAGCCGAGTTTGACGACTACTGTAAACTTGAAATGACATTTAGAGTAAAGTTTATACAAGTTCTCGCTACTAAATCAGTGTGATTGAGCGCTGACAGAAACTTTGTGCCAAGCCTCGACCTATTGCTGCAAAACTAGCGAAACCAGAAAACAAACAGTGAAGTTCTGCACTCACCCGTAAAGAGGCGAGGTCGATGTTACTCAGACTTGTTGTAGGGAAGTCTCTCGCCATTTTAATGAGCTCGTCTGCCAATATCAGACTTTCTTAACTGATCATGGTTTGAGGAACAGTATGTCTGCCCATCTGCAGCTCCTCGACAGCGCATCTAACCCTACTATAGCGAAGGATCGGCTCGTGAATCATAACGACATAACGGACCTCTCGCCCCGCAGTGAACTGAACTCAAACTTTGGTGTAAGTGGGCGTTTCACAACTGGCGGATTAGCCAATCAAGTCACAGCGCACACTCGGCTGCGTAATATTAATGAGCTCATGTTCTTGACACTCCCGGAAAGTTACAAAGCGACCTCATGATCTGTTTAATATTCATGAGCTTCTCCTTCGCTTTAGTAGGAGTTGGCGTTTCTCAGGACAAACACAGGAAACCCGGAAAACGAGTAAAGAGTGAAAAGCTGCGCCTTCCTCTGCTTACAGCAAAACAACGCGTCTTATCTCTGTGTAATAGAGTTTGCTTTAGTCTCAAACCTGGCCTGTGTTTTAATAGTCATTAAAGATTTTTATTTGAAACATTCTGCCACCTTTATGTCAGTTTCATCACATTAATATAACATGCAATTATAAAGGCATCTCTCACAGTCAATTACTCATATATTTATTTATTTTGTTGGTCTGATAACAATTTTTATTTTTGCAAGGTATAATACAAATAATTTATATACTAAAACCAGAAACCTGTGAACCAGACAAGCTGCTTGGTTTGTGAGTATAATAACAACTCGCATATTAATACTCTTCCACACATGACTGTATCTGAAGAGTAACATGGCATACTAGTCGTGAGTATACAAAATCAAATCACCCATTTTAGTGACCTTTCATCCTAAAGGGCAGCATTGCATACAAATTCAATAAAATGCTAATAAATACCAATATTGATCAAAAGTGTCTGATCATTACCAGCACTGAAATGCTTCATCTGTAGTACCAGATACACCATATAAACCAGATGTATCTATCCATAATGTGTGAAAAACTTCAGAATTCTGAGGAAGAAAACAGCCAAATGATAAGCTGTATCAAATATGTAAATACCTCCTGGACTAGCTACAAACCACATCAATGTGCTTATTAGATTTGAATAGGAATTATTTGCATAAATAACATATTCTTTAAAGCTCAGAGCTGATGTGTCTTTACATTATTGTGCTGTAACAACCGAAGTCATAATGTCAAATAAACCAGATGCGGTGCTTGATGGAATAACTGTACATAGTAGAATTACCTCAATATTCAAGCAAGAAAACAATATCAGTAGCTCTTCATCTGTCTGAACAAAGTATGAAAACACTATAAAGGCTGGAAGAAAGCGAGATAAACCATTATGGGCCAGTTTTACTAAACAGGGCAAATTAGTGAGAGAGTGCAATTCCAAAACAGCGCCGATGATTTACTGATTTACTAACAACGCGCAAAATAAAGAACATCTCATTTACACATCGAACAATGCAATATACCAAGTGCAGCGCAAATTAGCATAGTCGCAAATAAAGAATAAACCAATAAAAAAGCCACAGTACGTTTGAAAAGAACCGGAGGCCAAAAATTTATTAAGTTTTCCCTGCTGAAAAATAACACCATCACAGAATTTGTAATGGTTTTACTGGTTATAATGGGACTTGTGTTGGTTTTAATGGAAACTGTAATGGTCCCTGTGGGTCTCTACTGGTAATTGTTCACCTTCTATTGGTGGCTTGTTAAAACCACTAAATCCTAATGGAATATGTCCCAAAACACACTACAGAAAACCGTTGTTTAATGGATTTAATGGTTAAAAGTTGATGGTTTGTAATGTTTGTAATGGTATTTGTAGTGGAAGCCATTAGAATTTTCTGTGATGGTTCTATTGTTTTTTCAGCAGGGTTGATAGTCCTCGTTAGCGTGACTCCTAGTTGAGGGTCTTTTATCTCCTGAAGCAAATTAAAAATAGCATGGCTTGGCAAACGATTATAACGCAAACGTTAGGCTAGTAAATCTCGTTGCATGATTCATTTGAATACTCACCTCCCATAAATTTTGAGTCTGAAAGGGAAACTCCTACAAATGCATATTCAATAAGGTCAGGCGCAAACATAACTGTGCCTTTTCAGCGCTAATTCGTCACTGCGCGTCTTTAATAAATCCTGACAGTACTGTTTTAACACCAAAAGATGGTTTGCGCTGGCGCAAGCTGTTAGTAAAACTGGCCCTATGTATTTTTTAATCTTAACAAGATGAACTCATGCAGATAAAAAGGAAGGAAGGATGAGATTGGCGAAGCGATGTTTGGCGGAGCCGCTCTACCAGATGTCACTGGAAAGCTCTGGTCTGGACAGCGGCACGAACGGCCTGCTCAAGTGAATGTCTTTCTTGGGTTTGCCGATGTCGTTGTGCGCCGGCCGTCCGTTCAGCAGCGTCATGGGCAGATTGCAGTACACGTGCCGGCCGCTGAGCGTGGCGATGGCGGAGCTGGGCAGCTCGTACTCATAGCTGCGACAGAAGTGGTGCATCTGCAGGTGGCCCGGCTCGTTATAGTCCGGTATCTCCACGTGAGCCGGCGCTAGCGACGCAGAGGTGGCAGTCATAGCCACGGTCGACACGGCCTGCAGGTCGCCGAACAGCCCCTGCTCGCCCGAGTCCAGGACTTGTCGGCGGGACACGCTCTCTTTTCTCTTCGCAGGCATCTCGTAGTGCACCCGCTTCCAGAACTTGGACTGGAGCTGGCTGCTCTTGGGCCCGTACCACTTGATGAGCGACAGCACTCGGATGGTGTGCTTGAGGTCCTCCAGCTCCTGGTAGTTGATGACGCTGCGCAGGTCCGAGCATTCGATCATGATCACCTTGATTTCGCCCATCACCAGCATGCTGTGCAGCCGCGGCTCGAACTGGAAGATGCTCCAGCCACGGCGGGCCACGAACTCAGGGGTCAAGACGATGATGAGACGCCTGCTCTGCTCCACGCTGTGCGCCAGGTCCTCGATGTACGCTAGAGACACAGAGAGAGACGGTGACTATGGCTGTCACAAAGCAGCAGACACAGATGCTTCAGAAATCATCTGCATTTAGAGCTTTCTGTGGTTCGTGCAAAGCAAAGACAACTAAATGTAGGATGTGCAGTGTTGGGGTAAGGCACTACAAGTAACGCCATTTAAGTAATCAGATTACTTTTTTCCAAGTAAGTAGTAAAGAAACCTATTACTTTTTTAATTTACTGACTGACAACTCTCCTGTCTGCATGTTGAGAGAAATCAGGAGTAAGTGCAGAGCATTGTGTGCACTGTGTGAACATAATCTTACTGTAGTTCTAGACTAAATATGAACGTGTTTACTCATCTCACTGTACAAAAACAGATTCAGTGTTTCTCAAAATGAATAAAACTCAAAATATGACACAAACCTGCAATAATTAAATGTTAAAAACACAAATATCCTTTATGTATTTAATCCCATTTTATTAAACAATGTCTCAATGCTGCTGAACTTCAATGATCCAATTCAACTGCACTAATAAGCAGAAATTACTTTAGATAAACATTACATTTGTGTTTGTTTTTTTATGATTGAGAAGAAAGTGTTGAACATTGGCCAGAAATATACATTTTTATATTAAAAACAAGCAACACCAGGTGAGAAAATAGTAATGCAAAAGTAACGTAATGCATTACTTTCCATAAAAAGTAAGTAATGCAATTAATTACTTTTTTTAGGGAGTAACGCAATATTGTAATGCATTACTTTCTGCAACACTGGGGTGTATTTAGGGGTTCGTCCTGCTCCCTTTGTGCCACAGACATGCATGATGAAACCTAAAAAACCTTTTCTACAAGATCTGGCTTTAGATCTCTCTCTGATGGACAAAGAAACAGGCAAAACAATACCATATGTTATGACTTGTGATAAATGAGGGACCTAAACTATACTGTATCTGGGTATATTGGTAAACAACCTACAGTAGCAAGAGTCCAGAACATCCTTAGACAGCATTGTGCTAAAAACACCTTACTGCATAGCAATGCTCCATCAAGAACACTCAAGCAACCGCACAGAAACAGACTATCATAACCGCACGGCAACACCTCAGCAGCTGTATCTCACACACCCATCATCCGCCCACAACACTCCAGCCCTGAGCTCATGAGTTCTGCATGCATCACAAGCTGAAGATGGGATTATGGGGCCAATAACATCAATGAATTAATCTATGAATTTATTAATAAAAAAAAATAAAAAAAATAATAAAGCAATACATACAATGACTTAAATTCACCTCTTTTGTGATGAGCATGTTTTAAATTACTGATCTGCATTTAAGGGGCCATAAAAGAAGCCTTTCTCTTTTCTCCTGGTGTTGGTGTGGGTTTCCTCCTGTTCAACAGAATCTGTTTCATCTTCATCAGACTGCGCTGAGTAACGACACATCCAACATTCCTGGGGGAGTTTCTGCATCTTACAGAAAGGAGATGACATGCTCCCTACAGAGGAGTTTTTCATGTTTAATATTCCCACACATGCTGAATGTGGGAAAACACCGCACTGCCGCTCAGGGTAAAGGATAGAGGATCCTGGATGCTGCTAAATAATGCAGAAGGATTCAGTGGTTTACACCAGCTGATCAAACTAAGAATGTTCATATTTCGCACAGCTCTCTGGAATATTTGATTATTACTGGTCACTTCATTCTTCATTAAAGTGTTTACATGCATGTTTATTGTGATTAAAATCTGTATACACCATATAATATTGATTTAGACAATTAGAAGTTTATTTGCATCAACGTACTGTACAACGGTTGACATATTGTGTTTACATGCAGTGAAGTTTAATCGCAGTATTGCCTAAACGTCATTATAAGGGTGCATATTAACATAGCCATTGATCCACATTACTGTTGTTATATATTTTTCTGTTCAGCTATTTTCTCTCTCTTCAGCAGTTCTCAAGCTTCTGTGGCCATTTTGTCTTGTTGTGTTAAATGTATCTCAACTCTTCATATTGTTTATAGCAATCCTTCATCATCATCTGAGAAGCGCATCGCTCACAGGAAGTGAATGGCACTCTCTCTTCCTGTTTCACATGACTCTCTGTTTGCTGCAGATGTCACACATCCCTGTGCATGTGACTGTGGACTAATCACAAGCTCAGGATCTGCCACAAAAGGTATAATGCGGGTAGTGGTACTGATCAAACCGAGTTGGATTTGATTTTTGTTTTGTCAAAGCAAAACCAATACTGGAATCCTGAGTTTGTTCAATTTGCATTTGTGGAGCAGGCCTATCTGTGATTATTTGGCAACATTATCCCTTACACATCTTTCCAGCACTCTAGAATTGATTATATGATGAATGTAGAGCTGCAGGAACCAAGCAGAGCACATCCCTAATACTACGCTGGACATGCACCGATCAAACACATTCATGAACTGAGAGAGAGTCGGTTCTTTGATTCAGATTAGAAATACACATCATCAACACTGAGCACACAAACATGAGCTGTCTTCTGCTGTGTGTTTTGCTGACTGTAAGTGTGTGAACGTCAGGTGTTGCTCTTACTGCTGCTGGGAATGAGGTCCCGGTGCGGGATGAAGAGTTTATATCCGTAGTGTTTCTCCAGAACGTCCGGTAAGATCTCCAGAGCGAACAGCTCCTCCTCGCTCATCTCACGCTCCACCGACTCCAGGTCCACTTTGGTGTAGGACAGGTAGGCGTCATATTCCTTGTTGTCTGTAAGGAACAGATATGTTGTATTGCACAGGTCAATTCTTTCATCATATTACACATTAAATTATGATTATAAAATGGTCAATACAATAACACTGTCACATTTATGGTCAGTTTTGTTTTTGTTTTCTGTGTTTCCGTTATTCCTGCCTAGTTAGTTTCCATGGTTTTTGATTAATTAGCTCCACACCTGTTTATGTCAACCCTTGCTATGTGTGTTTTCCTGTTTCCCTGGATGTAATTAAAGACTGTATGTTTGAATTGGACTCTGCGTCTCCTCGTTCCTTGCTCCGTGCTCCTCACAGTAACATACCGTGACAGAATAGCAGACCGAAACAATAAGTGTTTTTGTTTTAAAAGTCTTTTAGTTTTTCCTTGAGTTCGTCCCGCGGCATGGAGATAGCCGCTCGCTTCTCAGCCCTAGCCCACAGAGATCTCCCCTTTGTGGAATATGCGTGGGAGTTCAGCGGGATCGCCACGAAAATGGCGCTGGATGACGCAATGCTCAACTCGCTGTTCTGGATCGGGGCAAATTACCATCGCCCCGTGGACCTCCAAGACACCACTGGACTAAGCTGGAGGGAAGGGATCCTCCGGTGTCTGGAGAGCGTCCGGCCCCGATCCAGAACCAGCTCGCCGTCAAGCCCGCCGGCCGCCGCTGACTCAAGCCCGCCGGCCACCACTGACTTGGCACTCTTGGACATGGCGCTACCTCCAGAGTTCTCTGCTCCTATCCTCACCCCAGAATCCGCTCCAGAAAGTTCTCCTTCGTCTCCGCTGGTCCCGTGCAGCTCTCCATCATCTCCTGAGTCTCCTTCGCCTATGCTGGTTCCGTCCAGCCCTCCTTCGTCTCCTGAGTCCCCCGAGTTAGCCAGCCCTGCTCCTCCAGAGTGCCTTCCAGTGCCCGCTCCTCCAGAGCTCCCCCAGAATTCCTAATTTTCCCCAAGAAAGAAGGTGGCCGAGCCGGCTAAGGTCACAGAGGATCCGCCATGGCCTCCTGAGTCCCCTGCTCTGCCATGGCCCCCTGGGCTACCAGCTCCACCATGGCAACCTGAACTGCCTGCTCCGCCATGGCCTCCTGAGTTCCCTGCTCTGCCATGGCCCCCTGAGCTACCAGCTCCACCATGGCAACCTGAACTGCCTGCTCCGCCATGGATCCTGGAGCTCCCTGATCCGCCCTGGAGGCCTTCCCGTGTCCCTGTCTTGCACCAGCCTCCAGGGCGCCCATGCCAATGTCACGTTTATGGTCGGTTTTGTTTTTGTTTTCTGTCTTTCCGTTATTCCTGCCTAGTTAGTTTCCATGGTTTTTGATTAATTAGCTCCACACCTGTTTATGTCAACCCTTGCTATGTGTGTTTTCCTGTTTCCCAGGGTGTAATTAAAGACTGTATGTTTGAATTGGACTCTGCGTCTCCTCGTTCCTCGCTCCATGCTCCTCACAGTAACATACCGTGACAAACACAGTCTCATGACAATTTGTAACTATTTTACGTTTTAGCAAATGCATATACTGTACATTTGTACAGTCTCATTTGTGTGTCCTGCTCATGCTCCACTGGGGCTTTGGTTTAGGGATGCAGCTTCATGCTTACATATTTGTTTTTCAACTGCTTACACACGTTTTCAAAACTTTGCCTCTTTTTTTTTTTTTTTTTTTACTTTACACACAAATCCAAGAATTGCACACACAAATTGTTAAATGCTTCACATCTCTTGCAAAATGAAGCACTGAATGCAAAATATCACAAACACATCTCAAAAGCAAACATTTGCAAACACCTTTGCCATAATATTATATTTTTGGATATATCATATACACAGTTAGTCAAAACATAAAGCTCTTCTTCATGAGCTCCTATGTACATTTCTGTACAAGATTTAAAGTAATTGGCAGAGAGATGTTGATAAATTCACATTAAACACGAAAGCAAGATTGAAACCAAACTTTTTTTACTGTAAGCATTTGTGGTTGTGAATACAGTATTACACAGTACCAAAGAAAAGAAACACATCAAGCACGTGAGGAGTTAGTGTGAGGCACTAATGAATTAGTGTGTCATTCTGATTGGTTGTGTTTGAAAAAGGAAATCAAGATACTTCCCGTTAGATTTTTGTGTGTTACATCATGCCTTTTCATCCATCTGTTTCTGGTTGCGGTTGGCACATCTCCAAAGACGACCAGCACGAGCGTTGTATTCAGTGTTTGGGTCGTGCTCACACTGAGGCAGCGCTTGTGGATGGTATGTGCCCCGCTTGCGAGGCACTTCCCATCAGCACGTTGCGCTCGCGGCTTCGGTTCTTCGTCAAAAGACCCCGAGTCACCGCGGCTGCTTGCCGCTCTGGTCCTTCTACCTCTGGGTATGAGCACAGTGATGTGCGCCATGGAAGAGCATGGGGAAGCGGGATCAGTTTTGCCGGAGCAATCCCCGCGAGGTTCCCGTTCTTCCCTTGCTTCGTGTTTACCGGTCGAGTTTCCGGATGAGTTTGAGAGCTCGTCCCTGGGTGGACTCAATCTTTCATTTGGGGCTCACGAACAGGACAAGCTGTCATTCGCAGTATCGGAGGGTGGGTTTGAGCCATCGGAAGTAGATGATTTGGCTGAGCAAGCACCTACGGGCGCTGAGCCTCAGTCCGAGGCTGACGCTGAGATGGCAGCCGTGCTTGCCCGGGCAGCCAAGAGCATCGGGCTGGAGTGGTCTCCCCCACCCTGCCCCGAGCACTCGCGGCTGGACAATTGGCTTCTGGATGCTAAGCGCGACACTAAGCAGGGCTCGGCCCCAGTGCCTTTCTTCCCGGAAGTGCACGAGGAGCTGACGTAATCGTGGAAGGCCCCTTTTTCAGCCAGAACACGGTACACCGGCTCCTCTGCCCTCACCACCCTCGATGGGGGTCCATCAAGGGTGTATACGGAGGTTCCCCAGTTGGAGAGAGCGATTGCGGTGCATCTTTGCCCGCAAAATGCCGCCACCTGGCAGGGCCACCCGAGACTCCCATCCAGGGCCTGTACATTCTCTTCGTCCCTGGTGGCGAAGGCTTATTCGGCTTCTGGACAAGCTGCGTCCGCCCTGCATGCCATGGCCATCCTGCAGGTCTATCAGGCCAAGGCGTTGAAAGAACTGGACGAGTGTGTTCCCAACCCAGAGGTACTGCAGGAATTGCGCTCGGCGACTGACTATGCCTTCCGGGCTACGAAGGTCACGGCGCAGGCTCTGGGGAGGGCGATGTCCACTTTAGTGATCCAGAACCGCCACCTGTGGCTCAACACATCCTGCCTCAGCGTGGGTCAGGTCCTGCTCCTGCACCCTCGAGTCAGCAGCCCCCGTCTGCTCGTCTCCGGGAATGGCCCCCTGCGAGGACTGCTGAGGCCCCGCAACAGCCCGGGCCTTCAGTCAAGCCTGACCAACGGCCCACCACTCGCAGGAAGGTGGCACTGCCAGCTCGTCATCAGGGCACCAGGAACCCTTGCAAGGCTTCAAAGTGTTCCTGAGATGGGCGACCCAGGGAGGAGGGACCATTTGGCCAGCCTGGATCCACTTCCGGCGGGGGAATGGGAGGTGAATTCGGCTCCACCACAACATTCCTTTGAGACCGTTGGCAGGGTATCTGGATGCTTGGTCAAGCCTCTCCAATCCCTCCCGATGGCTCATCAGAACCATTTGGCTCGACTATTCGATTCAGTTCGCCAGGCGCCCGCCCAAGTTCAGGGGCATTAGGTTTACCTCAGTACGAGGCGAGAATGCCGCTGTTCTTAGAGCAGAGGTTGCAACCCTTGTCGAGAAGGGTGCAATCGAGCCTGTCCCCCTGGCCGAAACGAAGAAGGGGTTTTACAGCCCATACTTCATTGTACCCAAGAAGGGTGGGGGGCTCAGACCAATCCTGCATTTGAGGACTCTGAACCGGGCCCTTCACAAGCTTCCGTTCAGAATGTTAACCCTCAAGCACATATTATCATGTGTCAGAGATCAGGATTGGTTTGTGGCAATAGACCTGAAGGGTGTGTACTTTCATGTCTCAATCCTACCAAGGCACAGGCCGTTTCATCGGTTTGCCTTCGAAGGATGGGCATATCAGTACAAGGTTCTTCCCTTCGAGCTGTCCCTGTCTCCTCGGGTCTTTACGAAGATCGCTGAGGCTGCCCTTGCCCCTCTCAGGAAAGTGGGCATTCGCATTCTCAATTACTTCGATGACTGTTTGATCCTAGCTCACTCGCGAGAATTCGTTTGCGCACACAGGGACATGGTGCTCGACCACCTAACCTGATTGGGACTTCGTGTCAACTGGAAAAAGAGCAAACTCTCCCCTGTGCAGAGTATCTGTTTTCTCGGAGTAGAATAGGACTCGGTTACGATGACTGCACGCCTCTCTCAGGATCGTGCTCAGTCAGTGCTGAAATGCTTGAGGGCTCTCAAGCAGAGAACGGCGGTCCCTCTCAAAAACTTTCAGAGTCTCCTGGGGCATATGGCGTCCTCTGCCGCGGTCATGCCACTGGGACTGATGCATATGAGACCACTTCAGCACTGGCTTCGTACCTGAGTCCCGAGATGGGCATGGTGCCACGGCTCACACCGTGTGAACATCACACCGTTGTGTCGCCGTACCTTCAGTCATTGGGAGGACATCTCTTTTCTATGGGCAGGAGTGCCCTTTGAACAGGTGTCCAGACGCATCGTTGTTACAACAGATACTTCCAAGACAGGTTGGGGTGCCGTGTGCAACGGGCGGGCAGCATCAGGGGTCTGGACAGGCCCTCGGCTGCATTGGCATATCAATTGCCTAGAGCTGTTGACTGTGCTTTTGGCCTTGAGGAGGTTTCGACCATTGATCCAAGGCAAGCACGTGTTGGTCCGGACGGACAACACAGCGACGGTTGCATACATCAACCACCAGGGTGGTGTTTGCTCCCATCGCATGTCACAACTCGCCCGCCATCTCTTACTTTGCCAGCACAAACTCAGGTCTCTGCATGCCACTCATATCCCGGGCGACCTCAATCGTGTAGCGGATCTCCTCTCGTGACAGGTCTCGCTCAGAGGCAAGTGGAGGCTTCACCCCCAGATGGTTCAGCTGATTTGGAGTTGGTTCAGCCAGGCACAGGTGGACCTGTTTGCTTTGTTGGAATCGACCCACTGCCAGTTGTGGTACTCCCTGACCGAGGCTCCCCTCGGCACAGACGCACTGGCTCACAGCTGGCCCAGGGGCCTACTCAAGTATGCGTTTCCCCCAGTGAGCCTCATTGCACAGACACTGTGCAAAGTCAGGGAAGACGGAGAACAGCTCCTGCTTGTGACCCCTTATTGGCCCAACAGGACCTGGTTCTCGGAGCTCGTGCTCATGGCATCAGTTCCTCCCTGGCAAATTCAAAGGGCACAATTTGGCATCCGCGTCCGGATCTCTGGAACCTTCATGTTTGGTCCCTGGACGCGAACAGAAGGAACTTAGAGGCCTTTCACCAGCCGTGGTGAATACCATTACTCAGGCCAGAGCCCCCTCGACGAGGCGGTTGTACGACCTGAAGTGGCGTTCTTCCCAGGGGAAGGACCCTCGGAGATGTGGAATCGGATCTGTGCTCTCCTTCCTCCAAGGAGGTCTGGACAGGCACCTGTCTGCTTCTACACTTAAGGTGTACGTGGCCGCGATTGAGGCTAACCATGACACCGTGGGAGGCAGATCGGTGGGGAGGCACGATCTGGTTATCAGGTTCCTCAAAGGCGCCCGGAGGTTGAACCCTCCGAGGCCACGTCTCATTCCCTCTTGAGATCTCACTGTGGTCTTGTGGTCACTGTCAGAAACTGTTATTGTTCATGTTATTCTTGCGTACCATCATCGGCCTCATCACTGCCGAAGTGTCGTCGGTAGCACAGCATGATCTCCACATTATAGCACTTATAGATGGCTGTGAAGATCCCCAATATCAGCATGATGGCACCCAGACCACCAACCAGCTCCAGCCTGTACACATCTGCATGAGAAAACAGATGACTTCTTTATGACTTAATTCATAAAGTCCAAAGGTATACATGTATCTGATCAGAAACACAGTAACAACAGTAATATTGAAATAGTATTATAATTTAAAATAACTGTTTTAAAATTGAATTTATTCCTGGCATGCAAACTTGCACTTTCAGTAGTTGAGCTGCTTCTTTTTTTGCCTCATATGTTTTCTTTCTTTCTTGATTCATTGTGGAAACTGTGATACTTTTTTTCAGGATTTTTTTTTTTTTGATGAATGGAATGTTTAGCTGCAACATTATACATTTCTTTAATGTTGCTCTTGCTCTTGCTCTTACTGCTATTGTGTGTTTGATCAAATAAATTCAGCCTTAGTGATTTAAAAAAAATAAAATAAAAATAATAATAATAATATATATATATATAAAACCTTAATTATGACAAACTTTTGATTGGTAGTGTCACCATCGCCCCCCCCCCCTTGTCACATCTCACCACTAAATCACCAATTGTCTGTCTAAAGGATGGATTTATATATATCTGAGATTTGTTGAGTGTTGTGGTTGACTGAGTGACCATCATTCACAGAGTTTAATGAGCCAAAATGTATCTGCAGCAATATTTACATTACATTTACATTTAATCATTTAGCAGATGCTTTTATCCAAAGCGACTTACAAATGAGGACAACAGAAGCAATCAAAACCAGCAAAAGAGCAACAATACAATATATATATAAGTGCTGTGATAAATCCTGGTTAGTCTAACGCAGTACACATAGCAAGATTATTTATTTATTTATTCAAATAATAAATAAAAAGAATGACAAGTCGATAAAATAGAAATAAAATAGAGAGTGCTAGTGTTAGAGGGTCAAGTTATTGTTACAATTTTTTTATAATAATTAAAAAGAAAACAAGAATAGAAATAGAATAGAGAGAGCAAGTGTTAGAGAGTCAAGTCTAGATGAAAGCGATGGTTTTTAGCCGTTTCCTGAAGATGGCTACAGACTCAGCTGTTTGGATATGTGAAAAACTTCAGAAAAACCAAAAGAAAGGATGATAATGCCCTTCTTTTAAGTGCACAATGCAAGTGAGTTTATGTCAGTGCCTGAAACACTTACTAAGTTACTCGTATGATGTTTGTGAGACAGAGCTGGTTCTGTTTGAGCAGGATAACTGATATGTGCTCAGTGTGAAGCTGTTTTTAATATCTGCTCTTGTATGAGTGAGAGAGTCAGGGTTCAGCCGTGTCCATGAGAACACAGAGAAGAGAGATGAAGACAGCACAAGATAATGAAACACATCTCCATCCGGCTGCTGTGTGTTCATCTGAGCACTTCACCTTTCTTCTGCAGGACGGCGCTCCCGCTGCCTCGGCCGATGTGGTTCTCCACGTTACAGGTGTAGTTGCCCATGTCCGTCTCCTCCACAGCGTCAAAGATCAGCGACAGCTCCACCTCCTTCTCCCCCAGAAACTCCCGCACCACCCTGAACACACACACATTAGCACACTTTCACGCTATTCGTGCCGTTTCTGCAGAATGACGCAGTATGAAACAGAGCATGCTGCGCAGATCCTGTTTCCCATCATGCTCTTCTGTTCGCAGCGTGTCTAATGAACCAGAACATCAGCAGCAGTTTGTAACGTCTCATTATTTGACAGCCAAGGGTTGAGATATTCTTACTTGATATTGGTTTGAGAATGCAAAATAAATCAAACACTGATTTACAGTTTTTTTCTCAACTGCTTACACACAAAATCACAGTTTCTGAAAGCTGACACTCAAACAGCAGAAGCACACACCAAATCTGCAAAACCATACACTAATTCTCAGCCTTTGACTCAGTTTTCAATTTCATAAAACACTTTTTGCAAAACACAACACACAATTATCTATGTAACACACAAAGATCTAACATGAATTAATATTATGGCAAAGGTGTTTGCAAATGTTTGCTTTTGAGATGTGTTTGTGATATTTTGAATGCAGTGCTTCATTTTGCAAGAGATATGAGGCTTTTTGCATTTTGTGTGCAGTTCTTGGATTTGTGTGTAAAGTTTTGAAAAAAAGAGGCAAAGTTTTGAAAATGTGTGGAAGCAGCTGAAAACGTCAACTGATGTTCATCTAAAGGCTAAACATACAAAAGATCTAAATTACACAAGCAGACATGGCTTTAATGAATATACTGAACAGACACGTTTCACATTTCAGTCTGAATATATTCAGATTTTATTCAGAAGGTATTTGAGGATGAATTGCTCTCTTTAGCTCTTGCTCTCATATTTGGATTCACTTTAAAAAATAGAAATGAAGAGGTGAAGCATCCATATAATATTAGTCCTATTAAAATATTCCCAGCATACATATTAATGTTTTATAATCATGATGAGTCATTCTATGCTCAAGCATTCATTTATATAAAATAAAAGCACTGAAAAAGATCAATTCCATCTTTTGAAAAGAGATCCTTTCAAAACTTCCTAAAGTTAGAATAAAAGCCAGAAACAGTTCTGTTATTCTCCAGTGCTCCCTGACTGTCAGTTGTGACATTAAACCAGGCAATTTTCCTGATGAATTCTTTATTCTTTATACTTTATATGTGACACATGAAGAAAGCTCCACTGTGAATAAAGATCCAGCATGTCTAAGAGTAACAGAAGGACATCATCCACCTGAAATGAAGGAGTAATTCATACAGATCAAACAGACATCAAAGGAAGATGAGCAAGGATAACGGCTGACAGTGACTCAAACATGAAACGCTATCAGAGGAATTATGTTACAGATCACTGAAACAACGCTGCATTAGATTACTGATGTTTGGCTGCCACCGCCAGCACACATTCTTTTAATATTTCTGAAAGAAGTGTCTTTAATGCTGCATTTTATTGTTTCAAAATGCTGTACCAACAGAAATATTGTGAAATATTATTATAATTTACTCCATTACCATCTATTTACACAATTACTCAATTTTTTCAGGATAATTTGATAAATATAAAGTTCAAAAGAAAAGCATCTATTGGAAATTGATTTTTTTTGTAACAATGAAAATATCTTTACTGTCACTTTTTAGCAAGGTTTTTATTATTTATTTATTTTTTTTAACAAATGAGCATGTCAAATAATTAGCAGACGGTTTTGGCCGTCACAGCAGGTCACGTGTAATGTCAGCTACTCACTGAAATGTATTTTCCAAGAACTGTTTTTCTTCTTTCACCTGTACTCTGTAGAGTAATAACTCAAGATGTGTCCACACTCATTCACACCTGTCGCACATCACTGCCTTAACAATATACTGTGTGTGCGTGTGTGTGTGTGTATATATATATATATATATACAGGTATATATATATATATATACAGGTATATATATATATATATACAGGTATATATATATATATATACAGGTATATATATATATATATACAGGTATATATATATATATATACAGGTATATATATATATATATACAGGTATATATATATATATATACAGGTATATATATATATATATACAGGTATATATATATATATATACAGGTATATATATATATATATACAGGTATATATATATATATATACAGGTATATATATATATATATACAGGTATATATATATATATATACAGGTATATATATATATATATACAGGTATATATATATATATATACAGGTATATATATATATATATACAGGTATATATATATATATATACAGGTATATATATATATATATACAGGTATATATATATATATATACAGGTATATATATATATATATACAGGTATATATATATATATATACAGGTATATATATATATATATACAGGTATATATATATATATATACAGGTATATATATATATATATACAGGTATATATATATATATATACAGGTATATATATATATATATACAGGTATATATATATATATATACAGGTATATATATATATATATACAGGTATATATATATATATATACAGGTATATATATATATATATACAGGTATATATATATATATATACAGGTATATATATATATATATACAGGTATATATATATATATATACAGTATATATAGTGTGTGTGTATATATATAAAGTATATATATAGTGTGTGTGTGTGTGTGTGTATGGTGTGTGGTGTGTAGTGTAGTGTGTGTGTGTGTGTGGTGTGTAGTGTTTGTGTAGTGTGTGTGGTGTGTGGTGTGTAGTGTAGTGTGTGTGTGTGTGTGTGTGTCTGTGTTTAGCTGATGGGAATATGAGTGTGAGTCAGGCTTGTGCTGCTGGAGCTCTGGTTCTTGTTGAGTGTAATAGCGCGTCACACTAGGATTAGATGCAGAATTACTTCAGACCATCTGTTTGTGTGGTTTTTGGGAGCGAAAAAAAGCTCATTCATAACATAATTTAAAACGAGCAAATTGGAAGTAGTCCATAGGCTTTTGTTTTTGTCACATAACTATGGACAACCCTGTTACTTTATCATCGGCATTATTTCCCAGCAGTGCAACTTCATTAGACACAAAGTGAGTGCCTACTATATAGTCATCACTCGACAGAATATGGACACTTACACCTACACTTTAATGACATTGCTTTCTTTGCAGCTATAACAGCTTCCACTCTTCTGGACCAGCTTTCCACGTGATTTTGGGGCGTTTCGGTGTGTGTTTTGCACATTCATCCAGTAGATCATTTGTGAGGTCAGACACTGATGTTGGATGAGAAGACCTGGCTCTCAATCTCCGTTCCAGCTCAACCAAAGGTGTTTGATGGGGTTGAGGTCTTCTTCTACAGCAAACTCATCCAGCCTTTACGGAGCTTGCTTTATGTACTCAGTCATGCTGGAAGAGAAAAGGTCCTTCCCCAAACCGATCCCACAAAGGTGGAAGCACAGCATTGTCCAAAATGTCTTGATATGCTGAAGCATTTAGATTTCACTGGAAGTAAGGGGTCCAGCACAGCCCCACACCATTATCATTCATCCACCAAACTTACATTACTAATGGGTCTGATTGAAACAGATGAGTTCAATCATTAAGAGCTGTCTCCCAATACTTTGACAATATATGAACCCATGGTTTGGATGTTTTTGCCAGCGTGGCGCCCCATGCGCTGTATATTTTACATGCCCCACTTTTGCACCCATGTGTATATTCACAATAAAAATAATGAATATGATCGAACTGCCTATGATTCCCTGATATTTCCAAGTTTTCATTGACTGTGGGAAACCTTTACTATTAGTAATGTTCAGTTGTAATGTTTTCCCTGGGTTCCTCAACCTCACACTTTTCTTCATTTGAGGTCATTCACAAGGATGCATCACTCCTGAATTACACACAGCACCATCTAGAGGCTCAGAAAAAAAGTTTTTAGCTAAGAGTTTTCTCTTCAAACCTATCCACAAAGCTGCAGAGACAAGCTTTTACTAAGGAATAGAGAGAAGTCTTAAACTCAGAGTAAGAGCGCGGTGGATGATGTCAGCATGCTCATTAACTATGCACACAGTGATTGGCTGATAGTCTCTCTCAGAGATTTATTCATAGAAATATTGTAGAGCATGATATTATGATGCCATATTCAAATAAAGGTTTAAAAATAAAAATGTAAATAAAGATTTTAAAACGCAGGCTAAGTGTCACTAATTAAACAAGTATATGTTCAGATAATTGTCAGCCTCTTACATGTGTGCTTCTCTTAAACAATTAGTGGATATGCATATAAACAGCCTTTTAATTAACAGAGTAGAATAATCATGGCTGATAGTAAGACATACAAACGTAAAACAGCTAAAAGAACAGCTGTTAATTCTTGCTTCTTGTCCAGCTGCTTAATGAAAACAAGGACATAATCAAAGGAAAATCTGGAGTGGGGATAACCTCCAAAACCAAAGGCGATATCTTTATAAAAGCTCATTATCATCAAATATTTCTCAAATGTTTCTGTTCTGAGGCAGATTGCTGGAAACAGCTATTTTAGGATAGTTTGTGGCTTGGTCTTAGTGACTTAGGACTCCTCTTCATTACTCCTAACCTTTCACAGATTTAGGAACTAATTTTAGCACTAAAAACACTTTGTGAAATACTCCTAGAGCAAACATTTAGGACTGACACGCCCATTATTTTTAAGATTTCTCCTAAACCTGCGAGTTATGAGCTACTTGTAGCCTGAAGATGTTTTGTGAATACGGGTCCTGAACCAGTAATGATTCAAACACATCAAACACTATATAAAGAACTGAGGACTTCAGACACTCGCAAAACACTAAACACCTGAATGTTTTCAGCAGGCAACAAATCACTGACGTCTCTGAGCACAGATATTAGCACCACTATAATATGGCAATGTAACTCAAATCTGCATATTAGAAAAGATATCAAAGATTTGAGTTCCTCAGAAAACAAGGACGGCATGGGGTGGAGAGTGACGTCACTGCCTCGAATTCTGTTTGTTATTTCTAAGAAGGGGAAATATATTTGATGTTCAACGGCACAAATCAGCACTAATCGAGCACAAACAAATGACACCGGGTTTGTGCGATTTAGACGAACTGGGGTGGAGAGTGACGTCACAGCTCCCGAAAACATTCTGGTTATATATATCTAAGGAAGGAAAATAGATACAGCGTTTGTTTTAACGGCACAAATCAGCACAAACGTAGCACAAATTAATGGAATAGTTTTGGTGATTATTTATTTTTATGGGGTGCCAACTTCACGGATGTTTGGAATTGAGGTTCATCAGACCAGAGAATCTTGTTTCTCAGAGTTTGAGGGTACTTTAGCTGCTTTTTTGCAAATACCAAGTGTGTTTTCATGTGTCTTCACTGAGGAGAGGATTGAGTTTGGCCAGGTCGGTGGAGAGTTGCAGTGATGTTTGTCCTTCTGTCTCCACATATGATCATGGAGCTCAACTAGAGTGACCATCAGGCTCTTGGACACCAGTCTAGACAAGGCCCTTCTCCATCAGGAGGCCAGCTCTTGGAAGAGTCCTGGTTGTTTCAAACTTCTTCCATTAAGGGTAACAGAGACTACATGCTTCTGTGAACCTTCAATGAAGCAGATTTTTTTCTGAACTCTTCCCCAGATGTGTGGCTTGACGCAAACCTGTTTCTGAGCTCTACAGGTAGTTCTTTTGACCTCAGGGTTTGGTTTTTGCTCTGATATGCATTATCAGCTGTTAGACCTTTTATTAAGACGTGTGTGCCTTTCCAAATCATACCCATTCAATTGAATTTCGAAGTGTAGTGACATCTACAAGCAATATGAATGCTCCTGAGCTAAATTTCAACTGTCCCAGATAAGGGTGTGAATACTTACGCAATGGAATCATTTAAGTTTTTTTTATCTTTAATACATTTGCAAAGATGTTAAAAACCTGTTGTTTGCTTTGTCATTATGGTGTATTGAGTGTAGATTGATGTGGGAAAAAAAGTAATTTAAACCAGTTTAACATAAGGAGTTTAAATACTTTTGCAAGGCACTATATATATATATATACAGTATATACACATATATATATATGTGTGTGTGTGTGTGTGTGTTGTTTTAATTTTGATAATTCATTGTGCATTTTTGGTATGTTGTCACTGAAATGAATAAGGTCTATTACCTGTAATGCTCAGGTTTGGTTCCTCCACCTGTCGCACATACACATCTTAAGCCCTAAACACACTGCAGGATTTTAGCAATCCTATAAGATCACTGCATGTCACACTGTGCGACATGCATCTAATAAACATGGCTATGACGTGTGTGTAGACTGTACGATGAAGACATCTATTGACTCGTACACTGCGATGCACGTTTCTACAGAAGAATGAAACGTCATCAGCATGCGCTAGTGGTACACAAAGAGCATGATGAATCACACTTTAGCAGATGTAGTTTTTATGTGTGCTCAAAAAAGTGGAAGCGGTGAAAAAGGAAGGGATAAGAGCTTGAGGTAAGCAGTTTTATGTTTTAGCGCCATGTCATGTTGATTTCATGTCTCATTTTTATTGGTTGGTCAGTAAACGCGGGTCGTAGCAGCGAACACACACGATGATCACGCTGTATCGTAGGCTATCTTTGATCACAAGACCGTGATAACGGCCGTCTTTGAAGCTCTCTCACTGTACGACACAGGAGCACTGATTAATCGCCACGATCACAGAAATCACCACGATTGTTTCACGATGCCAGTCTTTCGTCTGGGATAGCTGGAAGTCCTGCAGTGTGTTTAGGGCTTTAAAAATTGACCGAATGTAGAAAAAGTTGCAAAACATAAAATGCATTCATTCTTTGGCCATTTAGCATGAGGAACTCACTTACAGAGTGGCGTTTGATGACTGGGGTCTGCGGCTCAGTTTGATCACTGATGATCAGCTGTTTTTGGTCAAAGCATGGCCACTAATAGCAATCTTTCGTTAGAAAGCCACGTTTCTAGCATTTGTAAAACTGCATTTTTCCATCTCAAAAATATATCTAAATTACGACCTATTCTCTCAATGTCTAATGCAGAAATGTTAATCCATGCGTTTATGAGCTCAAGGTTAGATTATTGTAATGCTTTATTGGGTGGTTGTTCTGCACGCTTAATAAACAAAAATTAATGCTGTTCAGTTGCTTTGACACAATCTGTATTGTTAAAAGCGCTATATAAATAAAGGTGACTTGACTTGACTTGACTAATGATGACATCACTATTCAGAATGAGTAGATGTTTCAGACCTGTGTAGAGTTTGTGATTATATAAAACCTGTGTTATGTTTGATCTCAACATTAGAGTGATTCGTGTTCTCTTGGGTGCAGTTTCATCCCTCACTTGCAACTCTGTATCACTTTCCCAAGGTCTTTTTCTAGACAAAGCTCTACATCACTCAGTTTAACTTCAAATACAAACTTATTGAACTTGAATCCAGTATTTTAGCTTTATATAACTTTATTATATCATAACTTTAATATGTTATGATATATTCAGTGTTATCATTGAGATGCCATTATAGTTTTTAGAAATACTTTGAACAGTTTTTATTATTTTTTTTTTACATTTTCAATTTTCATTTTAAATTTAATTAAAGTTTAAGTAATTTTGTGTTGTGTGTTTGCCATTTTTATTAGTTTTTTAATATGTATAGTTTTTTATTATTCATGTTTAGTTTCAGTTATTTCATTATTAACTTTCAGTTTTTGTTATTTTAGTACATCGTTAAACTAAATGAAAAGGAAAAATGTTGCCTCGCATTTTATTTCAGTTAATGTTTATTTTTGTTTCAATTAACTAAAATGCATTTGTACGGTTTCATCATTATAACCCTGGTTATATTAAATTATATTATGTTTGATGAAAGCCCAGACCAACTTTAATTGTTAAATTGATACAACAATTTTTAAATATAAGTCGATTATATTCAAAAAAGTCCTAAAACTGTTTACAGTGTATAGACAATTTAGTGTCTCAAATCAATCAATCAATCAATCAATCAATCAATCAATCAATCTCAGTGTCTCACAGGTACTGTACAAACTGCATATAGTGACTGTATAGTGACTGGTGTGTTGTATATGATACTGTACTGCACACAGTAATGTATAGTGCACACTTGAACACTGTCTCATGCATGTGTGTGAATGACAGCAGATGAGCACTCGTTTTGTCCACTAGAGGTCTCTGTGTGCTCAGCGGCTGTGAGTGTGTGTTATACAACGCCGCTCTGTTCTTCAGCTCATGCACGCTCATCTGACCACAGTTTATTGCTCTTAATTCAAGTAACGCAGTACCTGACTTCACTCTCTCGTATATGTCCTTCCAGCTCCTCCACGAACTTATCTCCCTTCATCCAGTAGATGATTGGCCGGGAATCTCCGCTGTAGCCGAAGAAAGCCCTGCAGTCCAGGACCAGACGCATGCCTGACCAACACAAGCACAACAGACAACCGTCAGCGTTAGACAGAAATACGCACACACACACTCTAAATGAAGAGATGTGGACACAGAAACGAGTGTTTACTGCTCTGCATCCTCAGCTCACGCTCCTCTTCTCATTGACCTGCTGCAGGAGTGATTGGGAAACTCTGAACAGCACTGCTTTATTTACTGCACCGATCCTCTGTTCTCACGTATGCTGATTATATGCAAATAATGTGTAAAAACCCTTCAGGGCTTTCAGCAGCATTAGCAGCACAGCAGTGAAGAGCTTCCTCTGCCTGCAATTACAGCTTTTAAGAGAGAGAAAGCGGCAGGAGATGCTAATGAACGACCGCAGTGGTTAGTGCTCAACACTTTATCCAGTTCGCTCCAGGAATCAGATCCAGAGCGGCTGAGGCTCACTGTCGACTTCAGCGCTGAAGGAACTGCAGAGGATTTCTCATGCATACACACATGCTTACAGTAGACATCAGGATCAACTCTGCATTTAATCTAAACCAGCTGTGTACTGCACATTTTACAATGTTCTCATTCATTTCAGTCTGAGAGAATCATATCCTCATCTAATGGTCAGAATGATCAAAATACTGCTTTAGTTCACTGTTCACTGAAGACGATCAAACAGAAAGCAGAAACTAAACAATGAACAGCTGAACACATCTCTTCCAGCCTAACAGTGATATCTGAGCATGTGTTTAATAGCTTTATTTAAGGTGTATGACTACGTTCAGAATGAAACATGCTCTGTCCTGAATTAGCCGCAGTGTTTCAGTCACAGATGAATCAAACTTTGTGTGAAACAGAAAAGCTCTGAGCCAAACTGATGAGCAGCTAGAAATGCTGATGTGTTTCATGAGCACTTTCCATATTTGTGTGAGGGTCCAAAAAGTCCCTCTCCAAAAAAGTCTCCAAATCTACACAGATCATGATGCTTTTAGATAAACTGATCTACTGAAAACAAAGAGACAGAAGTAATAGCAGTAAATACTGTGGTATTTGATCTGACACGGTGTTACGAACATGTCAGACTAGTCCAGTTCTGAACAAGTTATTAATGTTATTGATTTGAACATGCTTTTCTCTGAGCTCATCTCATATATCACTTATTTTCTCTCCGTTTGTAACATTATGGGCCTGTAGTGCACGAGAACAACAGCATAAACCACAAATATGAAACACAGTGTGCAATGTCTCACTTTTCTTAATAATAAGTGAAATGGTTTGTTTGAATGGTGTGTGAGTTTGAAGTGAGTGCATCTATTTGACATTATTGGTGTCTGACTGGTGGCAAACAGGAGGAGTGTTTGAGAAACTTGCTTTAAAATTCATTATTTGTATTGTATTGGTTGAGGGATTTGTCTTTAAAGAATAGTTCATCCAACAATGAACGTGCTCACTGTGTCACAGCCATCAGCTGGTGTGCCTATGACCGCCACCGGAGGGCACTCTTCCCGGACCACTGCCTGTGTTCTTCTGGACTTCAGTTCCCATCACCCTTGCACAGACTATCATGCTGCACTGCCTTCAGCTGTTTGTCATTTAACTATTTAGCTCACCCTGATATATACCATGTTCACTCTGTCTTCTGTGTGTTTATTTGCTGGTGTTGTCTTCTGGATTACCTTGTTCTTGCGCTTTTTTCTTTTGCCCTGTTTCTGGATCTTTGTCTGGATTACTCATTAAAACTGCACTTGGATTTTATGTAGTCCCAGAGTGTTCCGTGATATCCTCAGGTCATCCGAGATCAGGATGAGTTTGTTTCTTCATCAGGTTTATAGAAATGTAGCATTGCATCAGTGTCTCAGCAATGGATGTTCTGCAGTGAATGGGTGCCGTCAGAATGAGAGTCCAGTCTTATTTTGGATTATAAACTCATATTTTAGCTGGAAGTGACAGTTAAAATGTCTTAATGCTGGATTAGTTTCAGTTTTTGTCTTCTCCAAATGTTAACTGATGGACTGGAGTGCTGTGGATTACTTGTGGATTATTGTGATGTTTTTATCAGCTGTTTGGACTCTCATTCTGACGGCACCCATTCACTGCAGAGCATCCATTGCTGAGACACTGATGCAGTGCTGCATTTCTACAAACCTGATGAAGAAACAAACTCATCCTGATCTCTGATGATGGCCCGAGTGTGAGTGCATTTTCATGTTTGGGTGAAATACTCCTTTAACTCTTCACATGCTGGCATGAATGATATTTCAAATCATATCTAGGAGGGACTGTATGTAGGGAGCAGAGCAGAAACAACACCATAGCGAACAACCAGAACAACTTACAGCAGCAGCAAAACACACATTTACATTCTAAATGGGGACATTCCATAGGTGATGGAAAATATGGTTACGTAGATGCACGCTCACACACACACACACACACACACGCTCACACACACACACACACACACGCTCACACACCTATACACACACACACACACTCGCACACGCGCACACACACACACACTATACACACACACACAGCCTTCGAACACTTTAGCAATGCCCTGACAGCACCAGAAACACTCCAGCATTGTCCCGTCGCGTTCAGCACTTACATTATCCACAGAAAAGCTAACACTTGCTTTGTGTTATTTGGTTTGGTGCAGAAATGGCACAGTTCACCTCCAAACTCTCAGAAGTTGTGAGCATGTGGTCTGGTTTAGGGAGCCGGTCAGTCCATCTGCGCTATGAGCACAGGTGATGTGGCTGCTGTGACCCGAGGTGAGCATCACTGTCACGAGCAGGAGGCAGAGCGAGAGAGAAGAGAGACACTGCTCAAAGAACAGGCCTGGACCTACTGGACTGATTTACAACGATCAACATTCACCACGTGACCAGTTTTACCATGCACTTTTCTTTTTCATCTGATTTTGGGTAAAATCTCTTGACATGTGTCAGTCGGATCAAATAACGAGTCCAGATTGGCAGAATGATTCGTTACTCTGTGGTTGATCAGCTGCAGTCATTAATCCAGGTCTTCTGTACAGAAACTCATGTCATCTCTTCTGTGCTCTGGCTCTGTGAAGCAGATGCTGCCTTACTCCTGTAAATGTCACTAGGACAGAATATGTACAGATAATTTCATTGTGCAACAGACACTTCTGACCGACGCTTTAATTGCACCTCCAGCAAATGGACTTCTCGTGGAGCGCCTGCAGATCTCTAGCGCTAAAAGGAGTCGTCTTGCATGCAGTTCACTTACTGAGAAACAGTTGACATTTCAAGGACTCAAAGTCCATTTGCTGTGCTGTCAGCGCGCGGAGTAATGCGTTATAATTTAGCGGGAGCTGACAGATTAAATATGAGAAAATCTCCAGCTATTTTGCTCCTGACAACAGCCCGAGGTCGGACGAGGAGCGTCACAAACACATCCAGACAGGAGTAAACACTTTGAAAAGAAAGAGGGGGAGTTTGACAGGAACAGAGACTTGTGTGAGTGTGTTATATATGCACTGGACTGATTGTGTCAGAGGAGTACAGTAACAAACGCTGCAGAGCTCAAATCAGCGGTTAGTGTTATACTGTGCGCTTACACGGTCCACTTCAGACACTCTTCTAACTATAAGTAACTTTGCAACTACATGTCAACTAACTCTCAGAGTAGACTGTAACAGTAGCTTAGGTTTAGTAGAATAGGTTGACATATACTTGCAAAGATTCTCATAGTATGTAGTCTGCCTCAGATCTGAGCCAGATTGAGATCTTATAAAGCAGCACAGTGCTGCTGTCTTCTGTCTGGAAAGGCCTGTGCATTGAACTTACAGGCCAGATTTATTCAACAGGGCAAATAAGTCATTAGTAAATCCTGACAGTAGTTTTTTACTGCCAAAAGAGGGTTGCGTTGGCACAAGCTGTGAGTAAATCTGGCCCATAATGCCTTAAAACACTGTCTAGGTAGACAGCTCACTATGATCTGGAGCTAAAAACTGGCTGAATATTTTGGCATTGTTTATCAGATATAGCTCTTTTACATGGGAACCGCACACTATTTCAGTGTGTGTCTGAATTTTGTTGTGTTTTGCACAATTGAGGGAAAAAAGGCAAACAATGTTGTGTTTTGTTGCGCTTCACTGCTACTAGTAGCTTGTTACTGGATACAACACTGATGTGAATGAGTTCAAGCAGATAGGTTCACTAAACATATACTGAAACTCATTCAAGAGGTATTTATCAGATGAATGCAAATGTAATGTTGGCAATATTTTCTTCCCTTCCAAACGGCTTGGTTTGCTGCTTCTGTTGGTCCTGCAGAGATCTCGCAGCAACATGGAATATATTCCTTGTTCATGCAATCATTAAAATTAATCAAATGCATTTTACAGCACCAGAGACCATTTCCACTTGCACGATAATTACATTGCCACATTCGCAGCATCCTCTCCTAATTGTCCATTTGCTAAGCATTGCTAAACATGTAGGGCAAATAAACCTGCAGCAGCAGCTGGATATTTATGAGAGATGTTTACATGCTGCTGATGGAAGTTTGCTTATAAGCCAAGCATATTCACCCTTTTGTCATATTCTTCCTTTTATATATACAGTGTATATACAGTATATATATATATATATAAAGATGAGCTCAAAGCTGCCAGAGACGGACTACATGCTACAAAACCCTCATGTTGATTTCATGCACTCTGTCAGTCGAGGACATGAGCATGTTAGCAGTTTTATTTCTGCCAAGTTCATCACGCATGACTGCGGCAGAACACTTCTATGAAGGAAAAGGGCATGTGTTTTGTGTGCTTGATGTGGATGTGTGTCTGTATATGGGACTCACCGAGTTGGACGTCTATGACGCTGGCCCGTCTCTCTGACGGGAACAGCACTTTTGGTGGTCTGGTCGTAAGAAGTGCTGCAAAACAATAAACACACATTAGCAATATTGCACTGAATGAAACATTCATCTCAATAACTCAAAACTGCTTCATCTTTGCTGTCTAGCCATTTAAATTACATTCATACAGATGCTTTTTCCCAAAGCGGTTTACGACCTTATTTACATTATACGGGTTAAGTTTGTCATTTTTCCTTGTCAGTTTAGGCCTCACTGACCGTCTCTACCTTCTCTAGCGTGAAGCTCTCAGCACGTTTCAGTGTGCAGCTAATGCAGCTACTAAATAGGGTCCATACTCTGCATTTAAAGTCACCAAGAAACTAAGCAGAGGCAGATGTTTCTTCTTTATTGTGATGTACGTCTGAGTGTAACGATGGCTCAAAAAGAAACACATGTAGGGCGGGACTTGGTTCTGTGCTGTTGTTGATTGGATGTTGAGATGTGGGCGTGGCTCTCAAACATGTATGCAGATGAGTGTGAGTTTGCAGGGGCGGAGCTTAATAACACTAAATGACAGGAGATCACAGAGAGAAGCCTGGTGTTTCACTGGAAGATCCAGTTATGGTGTTTACATTCATATCAGTTATTCACATTAATATCTATAACATGCATTATACATTTTAATTTCATGCCTCTTCAGTGTTTACAAATATCAGTTTGTGTGCTCCGTAGGAATTCAATTTGTCACAGATTTGCCGTTTCTGGCACCATGCTTTACCGGCTGACCAACAGGACATAAAATAATTATTTAAGACAAAGTGCACAACTATACACCTGCATTAGACATACACATGCTGAATGAACAGAGAATGCAAGTTAGTTTCTTTGTAAACACTGAATACAAAACAGATAAATGTAAAAAAAAAACACAAAATGATAATGTTTCAATTCAGTAGACATATAATCTCTTTGTTTTTGCTATTACAGCATTCCAGCATGTGAGCATCTGTTGAAGTGCATCAAATGACCGTCTGCCATTAACTGATGTACTGCATGTGTTGGTGAAGGTGATTTTTAACACTACCACACCAAGTCTGGATCTCCTCAGATCACGTTATTGAAAACTGTGCTCAGTGTCAATGTTTACTTGGTCACACTTTATTTTAAGGTCCAGTTATCACTATTAACAAACCATTAACTATGACTTTTGCCTCAACAAACTCTAACTTGCTGCTCATTACTAGTTAGTGCGGTAGTTATTAAGTTTAGGTACTGGGCAGTATTACGGATGTATAATACGTTCATGCAGAATATGTGCTTTATAAGCACTAATAAACAGCCAATATGTTAATAATAAGCAATTAGTTAATAGTGCGAATTGGTCCTTATACTAAAGTGTTACCATTTACTTATTGTTTGTTGACAAACATAGAGGCGTTCTGTCAGTGATGCAGATATCCAGAGCTCTTCACACACTCCTCTGACTGAAGAAACGCACAGAAGAGCTTGTGTGTGCATGCGTGTGTGTGTGTGTGTGTGTGTGTGTGTGAGTGAGTGATTGTGTGTGTGTGTGTGTGTGTGTGTGTGTGTGTGTGAGTGAGTGTCTGATTGTGTGTGTGTGTGAGTGTGTGTGTGTGAGTGTCTGATTGTGTGTGTGTGTGTGCGTGCGTGTGTATGCAGAACGAAACAGAAACACATTACATTCTTTAAAGATTCCATGAACAAAACTATTCATTGTATAAGAAAATATGACCCAGATTATATTAAATACAGAATCACTTGTAATGAAGAAAAACATGGTTAGTGTTTAGCTTGCTACTGAGAACATAATCATCAATATCACTGCAAAACACTCACATACAACCATATACTGTACTAATAGCAAATCTCAGTCTGGTTGAACTGCTTTGAAACAATGCGTATTGTGAAAAGTCTTTGAGAAATAAAATGAACACAGACATTAACCAAGTGCTTAGTACACTGGAATATGTATATGTTTCAGTGTTTTTGCATGATTGTGTTACTGTGCTGGATCTAAACCTGAATCGCTGCCGTATGCTGTCCTCCACTGAGCAAATGATCAGGACAGACCAGCTCAGTTTCTCAAGGAGAGTTTGGCTTCACTGTATAAACACTTATGGTTTTGATATAGTCTTGTGTCTATCTGTCCTCCTTTAGCAGCTGCCATTAGCCTCTTACGTTCTCTTTTCTCCTGTTCCAGCTATAGGTAAAACTAGTCTAACTGAATGCCTTGGTCTAGATATAAAGCAGCTAACCTGCTATCCTCAGGGGTGACGCCAGATCCGACTGACGTGTAACAGAGCGGAATCTCTCTGGACAGCTCTATGAGTAAAGCAAAGTCATCTGGACTCTATGAGACACTACCAGACAAGCGACAGTACTAAAGCACACTAAAGAGCAATCCTTCGTTATATTTTCTCAGAGTCAGAATCAATGGCGTGTTCTGTCCGAGGCGTTTGATGTCCTCCTCTCACTTCTGCTGCATGACAAACCACTGACAGAGTCCACCATTCAACCTGATTACATCACAGCATCCCAAAATCCATTTTGTGGCTCTTTAATGACAGATCACTGTATTGCCTCAGTTAAAGCGGCATGTGAACCAATCGTCTTTTCATATTTACTTAAAGCACGAAATGAACATGAATGAACATCAGAATGTATTTTATTTCAACCGCGGAACACAATATTTTCCAAGCTTAAGTCCACCGAAGTTAATCTACTCTCCTGTCTGATTTGTGGTTGGGCTCCTGAGTTTGCGCACATCAATATAGCATATTTTTTGTCACACTGTACAACAATAATTACTGTTTTTGCATTATTGTTTAGGGTTGGGGTAGGTGTAGGCGTTAATAAAACACAATCTAATAGGTAAAAAATGTAATTTATTGTTAGTTTGCGGCCGTAGCTGTCGGACAAGATGACGGGTTCGGCGTTATGATTGGTCAGATCACCTGTCAATCAAGCTCTTTGTGAACGGTCAGGTGGTCTCTAAAATAAAGTGTTTCAGTTTTACTTAGTCTATTAAAAAAGTCTATTACTTAGAGACTTGTGTACTTGCATACTCAGTACTTCATCTATTTAATTATTAATTTTATGTTTTTTAAGAAAAATGTGAAAAGGGGGAAGTGTAAGGGTCAGGCTGAACTTGTTTGGATTAATGTACACAAAAAAATACATTATAAAGTGTAATTATCTATAAAGGGAGAAAACAGAGGCAGATTCTGCAGCAACAGCACTCTTTACTCTCACACGTGCAAAACAGATTCGATGTTAATATTCAAATGTTCTATATTCAAAGACTGATTATGAAATCATTAATTAAATGATAAAATACACTTTATGGGCTTATTCTCAATTTATTTATCAATGCTTTGCTGCTTATGTGAGTTGTGTTGGTTTGGTTTTGCTGAACTGAGTGTGGAACTTCTTCTTCTTATAGTTTGTGTTGCACTGAATTTGCATTTCATTCCACTTTCAGTGTGAATAGATCATTCATGTGCAGACTGCATCTCATCGTACTTTCTGTTTAAATAGTTCATACTAAACAAAGAGTGAGAAGGAAGATGGATTCCACTCGAAGCGAAAGCAAACCCAGTATGACGAGGTGTTAGTGTTTGCTCTGGTAATGTGCTGACATTTAATGCTGCTTAACTACAGGAACATGTTCATCAGTCGTCCTCAGGCAGAGCTTAAAAGAGAGTTTAAAGATCTGAGAGTCTTCGCCTGCGGTTTGAAAAAGAGGGAACAAATCTCCTCTGTACTGAGAGTTGCTCAAACGCTCAGAGTGTCAGGCAGCTGATAGCAACTAAGAGTCATACACAAGACTAACTATTGATCTGTGCTTCAGGACTGCAGAAAGTGCATGGAGGATCTGGAAATGCCATCACAGCAGTGACAGTGGATCTGTGTCTCTCGTTCTCAAGCGAGCACCAGCTGTCCTCAGGGTCCGGATCCGTCGTGACACCTGACCCAGCGCATCTGGACCCATCACACGAGGACATCGTGCCCCTTCATTCACATTCACACTTTCACCACTTCTGCTTCAGTATAACTCTTCCACTCGGCCCAACTTTCCATTTCCACGCTTCCCGTGACACAGACACGGTCATGCAAACGCCTACCAGTAGTGAGATGCATTGATTTGTATCACTGTACAAATACACAGCTTTATAAATCCAACATTAAAGCAACTGGTAATAATAACATACAGGACAGATTTGCTTCCTGTATATTAAGTGGGTGACTTCTCATTATGCAGTGAAAAATGTCGGCATGATCCATTAAACACTTTATGCATAATTGAGTTTTTTACATGGATTTCAGTACAAAAGAGAAGTGTGTGGAAATGAGGCCAATCAAGAGTCACTGCACCGCACTAATCCAGTTAGTCTAGTGTGGAGTTAGTGAGGCTGACACGAAACCAAGTTGTCTTCTCTTTAAGTAGCAATAATAATGTAAAAACAAGTTTGTTTGTTTTTTGGTCCTGTGAACTGCATTTCAAAATTTGACTTACAGTTAGTAAATAGATCTGTACTATAATGATCAAATATAGACCTAAAATGTTAATGTAGTGCTAGTTATTTGTCTTGAATTGATTAGTTTTTACATTGATTATGGAAAAAAATGCTAGTTGTTGATCAGCTAATAGTGAACTCCCGTATTTAACTGGCTGCTATTACTTACTAATTAATTGAGATTGTTGTCAGTTAATGGTAGTTTCCGGGATGTTAATATTGTGTTACTCATTTGTTCCTGTATAGTTATTCATTAATGATGATAACAAGTGCTGCCCTCAAGACTAAATCTAGACCTCTTTAACAAATCCCTTTCTTGCAGACATGCGGAAATATCTTGCATTAACTGTTGTAGTTCTCATGTATAGGCTATATTTGTATAGGATGCTATTACGTCACACTGTCACACATCTCTGTTAACAAGTGATGTATATGTCACAGGTTAATGAGGGATTTTGTTTCACGAGAAAAGTAAGCTGGGAGCCTGCACTTCTGCACACATTATGCAAGTAATGGACAATTACAGATCTAAGGAAATGC